AAAAAAAAAAAAAAAAAGGCTTCTCTTATTTAGTAATTACTTTAGGCATGTTTCCTCATCCCTATCTGAGCGTGGTCAAAGTTATCTCAGAATATGGGACTTTGCTGCTGTAGCCTGAGAAATCTTTGAGTAGTCAGTCTTACCCTTAGGAATTTTAGCTTAATTCTTTCTGAGTAGTTTGCTTTACTTTTTCTTACTTTATAAGTAAAATAAAAATATAAAAGGCATCCTCCCTGGGCTATAGTTGAAGGAAGATATGTTAGCACCTCTTTCCCACAATGCTTCATAACAAATTCTGCACATTTGTAGAGTCAAAATTCATTGAGGAATTGATTTTAATAAATCAATGGGTCTTGCAGGCTTCTAGGTAACATTGGTGCTTAAGAAAATGTTAGCCTTGTAGCTGTTGTGCCTGCTTCTCACCGAGTAAATTACTGAGGGTAAAAGTGATTTCTCAGATGTGTTGTGAGAAGGGAATGGATGCACAAAATATAGATCTGCTTAGACTTTTAAGGCACCTTTAGACAGGGCTGTACTGTTTTTGAAAGCAGCTAAAATAAAAGTTCCCTTTATGAAGACCTCTTATCAGAATGCTGTAAGTTCAAATTGACCGGATTTTAAAATCCAATTTCCTCGTCTTCAAGCTGCAGTTTAAGAAATTCAAGACTTCCTGCTACTATACTGGTTTCTTTTATCTGTGTCCATAGTTCAGGTAACACACGTGGGTCAGGGACTCTAAAGGGCATAAAAGCAGGGTTCAAAACTATTGCGTGTCCATGCATAGTTGTTTCCACGATACAGAGCTCCCTCCCAGGCCTCCATGCAGTCCGAAGTGAGGAAGTTTGATCTCAGCTATTAACCAGTTGAAGATGAAAGGGCAGGTTTTTGGGAGTGGCATTAGGACAGAATACTGATGTAGTTCGTCCTTTATTTCCAAGATAGGAAACAGTTGGTAAGAATTAAGGAATCTCTCCTTCCCTTTTCCTCCCTTGTGTCCCTCAGTCTCATAAAACTATTGTCTGTGCTCTTTCAGGTAGAGAATAATGCAGTCGAATGTAGTGCAGCACAGAATGACCCTCCTCCTTTTCAGTAATGCTTTCACGTGATTACTGCCCAGGAGTGGGTTTAGGGTTTGTATGTAAGTACATCTTTTCAAATTCTCCACCTGTGCTTTCAGGTTGTATTAGGGGTGTAGGTTGTAGCCGTGTTGGTCTAAGGACATAGGCAGACAAGGTTCTTTGGGTGAATCTGATATCTTTTAAACCCGAAAGCTTGCTAAATTTTTTTTTCCAACTATTTAAGTTGGTTTAATAAAAGATATCAGATTCACCCAGAGAACCTTGAATGCCTTTAGGTCAGGGGCGGGCAGTTATTTCTGGCAGAGGGCCACTTACTGACTTTTGGCAAGCCATCGAGGGCCACATGACAGGCAACCAGGGGCAGATAAATATTCATTTTCTAAATTTTTTAGAGGCCCCTCAGGCTGGATAGAACGGCCTGGTGGGCCGCATCCGGCCCCCGGGTCGCATTTTGCCCACCCATGCTTTAGGTTGTAATCTCATATGTCCAGTGTCTGTGCCTGCCTTATATGTTTTCAAAGCATCTAGTACATTGTAGACAAAAATATACTACAAATAACAATGTTTTCTTTGAGATACGGACAAATAAATTACGGCGAGTAGAGTCGCAAGGGGAAAGTGAGAAGTTGGGCACCTTGTTTCATTAAGGGCCGTTAGCTACAGTTTAGTTTTGACTTCCTGCAGACTGAAGGCAGGCACACGAGCAGTTACAGCAGAGCAGCTGGCATGTGCCAGAGGCCCCCACCACCAGTAATTTGGTCATTTGTCCATACACGTAGACACTTTTAGTAATTTTAAAAAAGGAGCCAGGCAGTATATTTCATGGTTGTCACCTTAGTGAGTGCAGTTGGCTGATAAATGGGTAGAAATAACAGTTGTACATCGTAAAGTGTAACTAATTGGTAAACGGAAGAGGAATCTGCTGACCAGTGCATATTGATTAGTGAAAAAAGCAGTGGTTTCAGTCCAGTTCCTAGGTGGCAAGAAGCTACATAGTGACCACCATTGCAACTGGGTAGTTGTTGGCCCTGCAGTGGCCAATTCCTGTTTGAAATCTGTGGGTTTCTCTTGTGAATCATGGTTGCACACCTTACAGTGCTAACATTTTGGGGCATCCCACGGCATCCTTGAAAGGATCTCAAGGCACCCCGGGGTACCACAGCACTCTTGTTGACAGTCACTGTAGTAGGGATGAGCTAAAAACATAAATGATGGCAAAAATGTTGTTTAGTAGTTTAATGACCATGACACATGATCCAGGCTTCCAGCACTGTACTCATTATCTCACTGCGTTATTTTGGGCAATCATATACCTCTCTGTGGATATGTTTCCCCATCTTTAACACAGGTATCATACTTACTTGTATCTCATCTCTTCATCTTAATTACTGTGAGATCCTTGGTTGAAAAAACTTGTTGGGAAATACTAGGAAGTACTTTGTAAGTCTTACTGTCAGATCTTACACTATATTTTGAGCCAAGAACAAAATCAGATATAGTAAGGATGTATTAAAAATATACAATGAGAATTTCTATGTGGGTAGTAGAAAGTGCTGTGGTTCTGCATATTAAGCACACTCACTGGGATGGCACTTTTTTGTTCTCTGACAAAGATGCATTCGCACTCGTTTTTTAACTTTGGACTAGTGTTATAAGAGCAAGAGCTGAAGGATATGGTTCTGTTGAAGCGATGATTTCACTTTGGCATTGTTCTGACAAAAATTACTTATCTAAGCAGGTCCCAGCATGTCTGTACATTGATGAAATTGTTCACTTACAGCCCTATGCAGATCAATGTAGCCCCACAATAAAAAGGGCAACTCTCTTTAGGTTTTATTCTTCTGCTTCCCCTTTGAATAAGAAGTTGTGAAGCTTGGTCCATCCTCTGCCTTTTCTTCTTTCAGTCTTCTGCCCAATAGCTTGATGTTCTACAGCCCTCAGCTCTGGGATTCTGATTTCACACTGACATTTAAACAGTGAATATTCCTGAACCTCCTGTCTTATTTCTTCTTTTATACTATTGGATAAAGACATCTGAGGTGTTAAAATAAGGAGGCTAGAGATCAAAATAGTTGCTGCACCTGCAGAGTTTAAATGTCAGAAAAATATGGAAATGTGTAAACCTTTTCTTTACTGGCTGTTTTTGCCCTTTCAGATATTCTACCCCCTCCTTTATTTTTAAGTTCCATTCTTTGAATCTAACCCTGCTGCTATGTTTGATGGCTATGAAAGCTGATTCACCCCAGGATGTGAAGTTCATGAGGTCTCTAGGGAATCTTAGAAAATGGCTGTTCACTGTAACAGTAATCAGCCCGCCGGGAGCTCTCCCCCATCAAATTATACACACTTGGGTATCCTGTTTAATAAGAAGGCGAGAAGAGGCTTGCTGACGCAGCCAACGTTTGCAAACAAGTCAGGACAAATTTAGCTTTGTTTGACAGGGTTGGCTGGAAGATCAGAGGTCTTTGGTCCTTAACCTAGAAAGTCATGCTGCAGCCCTGTGAGAATTTGACAGGTTTGCAGCTTCCACGAACAGGTATCTTCGGAGCTCCAGATGTTGCTATATTGTCATTGAAGAGTCTGAGCACTTGGTCCAGGTTTTTAAAGAGACATGTCCCTGCCCTTGAAGTAATGATTGATTCCCCAGTATTAATGGGAGGAGAACTCAGAGGGCCTGATGGGAAGTATTATTGCTGTTTTGGGAAGGAGTGCAGCATTTCCACATAGGTCTAGGTAGGTAGGTGTTTTACTTCCCTGTTGTTTTAAGTCCAGTCTGCTCCTGTAAAATAGCCAGAAGTGGGAGGAGATTGCGGATGATGAAATAAAGCATATAAACGTAATGTACATTTTTTTTATAAGGCAAATCTCGCTTCTGTATCTTATTCAACAGGCTGTTCATGATGTAAGGAAGTGATTGGCCTAAAAATTACAGTGTACCAAATCTTGTAGAAACAAGTCAAGCAAAAAAACAACCACAGGGAAATTGAATATATGAGATGAAACATCCCTTCCTCCAAAGTGCTCTGAGCCATCACATCTTAGTCTTTGGGCAGTGGGTTTTGCCTCCTCCAAATTCTCAAATGCTAGTTTTTTTAGGGGAAGAAACACAGCCAATTGTACATCACGAGAGAATGTGATGCTGTTTGTGTTTCTTGCTGTGCATTTGAGTTCTTGACTCTAAGAGTTGCAGTCCCCAACCGGTAAAGCTTAAGGTACAACTTTCACCACTACAAGGGCGCACACTGTACGAAGATGTATTCTTGTCAATCGTCTCTGTGGGATGAATGCACGCATGACAAACATCAGGCTATTGATAAATGTCTGCTCAAGGAGAGGAGATGGGCTCTTCCAGACACTTGCTCCTTTAGGTGATCAGTGCTTGGCTAAATTCAGGTGGCTGGTTAAGCAAAAATGATTGAGTAACCAAATCCAGATAAGAAAAAACAATGAGATTTAAATATTTCTGGCATTCTCAGTGAGTTATGGGACACGCGCACCAAACCTTATCTTTCAGGAAAGTTTCTGTACTCTATTACTTTGTATTGGAGAAGCAGTTAATTCAGAAATTTCAGTCATTAGTTATATTTGCTCTTGTTCATGGACATCTGTTGTAGAAGGCATCAGCTGGCAGTCCTTCCTAGTCCCTTTAAGCCAGCAG